GCAAGATTCCAAAGCTGAACCATAGCTGATAGCAACTCAACTCTGAAGTAAAAGAGATGAGGTGGAGACTTTTTAGGAGAGCAAATGATCCCAACAAGAACTAATCAAGGGGGAATAGAAGTGACAATGGTAGCATTGATAGGATGAATAGTAAAAGTAAAAAAAAATTAATGAGATTGAACCCCATAAGAGGGAATAGCTAAAGATAAAGAGAGGTCATCCATAGAAAATGGACTAACCTAAAAAATGAAGAAATGTGGTGGATTTTGTACATCAAAATCTATCTGAGCATACAGTTCTTCTATACTCGGAACCCATTCCCTTCTTATCTGAGCATTTTTTTCGTTTTGTCGTTGCCATTCTTTGGACATCAGGTTGAAACAAAAAGCCCATCTTTTCCCAATTACGATCCCCAATATAAGGTGGAATCAGAACGTTATCGTCTTGCCCAAGCTAACCTCCCTTAAGTTATACCCTAAAACTCTTGGTCTCTCCAGAACTTATTTTAGAAGGCATGGTTACAAATACATATCGAAAAAAGTGTAGAAAAACTTTAAAGTTGAAAAGCTTTTGAGATCAAAAACTTTAGGCCAAAATGAAAGCAAAAAAAAAAAAAAAAAACCAGAAATATGAAAATTGAAAGCCCCAATAGCCCTTTATATAGCCGCACTGCAAATTAGATGAATTGCGCAAACCATGCCACATGTCAGATTGAAGAAGGAAAGATATCTTTTCATCTTTTCATTTTTAAATTTTCTCGGTTAAACTACCTTTTTCCTCATTTAATGTCATAACACTTGCCAAAATCGGATGAATCCAGGCCAAACTAGTCAAACGGACAAATCCTAAGTCAAATCAACCAAATCAGATAACTTTTCGGGACAGACTAGACCCTTAGTTCATCATCAGAGTTCAAAGTAGAGACTCGAATCCAAACCCCTAAAATAAAACACAAGTCTCACATCGACTAGATGAACTCCAACACTAACATTAAACCATTCTGAACAATTATCACCTTAGTAACCTTTAAGCTGGCTATGCCCTTAATTAAAGACATACATGTATGATCAGACAACAACAAGGTCAGACCACGACTCAAGGCTAATTATCTCCTAATATTGATCTCTTTCTATGATGCCACTTCAAATAATTAAATTTCATGTTATTTCCTTTTGCCTATCTATCCTACATTAGGTGCATTGATCATAAATTCAACAATTTGATTAGTGGGGAGACAAAATGTTATAAGCATTTTTCGGTTAAAAAAGTATAATGATTTTTTTTTATGTTAAAAGTTTTTAACAAAAATTCAAAGATAATTTTATCATTTATATTGATATAACATATTAAATCGATCTGACACATCTAATATTACATTAACTTGATATTATCTTTATTGTCTTCAAATGATCTTTCATTACTTATATATAAATACGAAAGTTCAGTCACAATTAAAATAAATCCATGCTACGTCTATTTCTCTTTATTATTTTTTTTCTAATTTTATCTGTTTTGACTTTTATATTTAAATACAAACATAATTAATACCTTTAATTATCTTTCTCTTTTATCTTTATAAAATTTATAAGATCAAAACTTAGCGCAAGTTTTATGATCCGCCGTCTTTTATGTAAATGAAATTGAGCTTATCCAAAAGAAAGAAACGTGACAAAGAGAACTATATTACTATGGACGTGAAAGCAGGATACAAGATGGTCATGTCGGTGTTTCTCCGAAGGGCGAAGGATGCTATGTACACGCAATCTCCTGTGCTTGTGCGCGCATGTACTACTTTTGTATTTTATGTTTTACTTTAATCAATTTAGTTAATATATTACAACATCAAATTAATTTTAACACAAACTTAATAAAAATTTATCTTGATATTTATAAATATAAATATATATCTATAATTTTAATAGAAATTTTATTTTGATATTTATAAATCAAGAGTGATATATAATAATATATGATGATCGCTCAAATATTAAAAAAATTATCATGATTTAACAAAATTTTTCGTATACGATACGTTAATGAAATTTGAAACGTTTTTCATCATATTAAAATCACCTTGGTCAAGGACTTTCTTGATTTAATAGTAACTACAAACAGACAAGAAAATGTAATGAAGATGACATTTGATGAGACCGGGGTTGGCCTGCCAAAATTGCAGATGGAGTGGACCAGGATAGCTTTGAGAGGGATTTGGTGGTTAGCTGGGCAATCTTGCATGGCAGAAATTTATTTGTAAAATGCAATGGAACACCCCACAAGATACGGCAAGGTTTGCTGCCATATATATAGAGAAGTTCAAGCAGACAAAAAAGGTACTGTAGGTACAAGACCTAATGACGCTGAGGATTGGGCTGCCCCACCGGTTGATATTTTGAAAGCTAATTTTGATGGTGCACTAAATGAAGCGATGGAACAGGAGGCTTGAGGGTCGTGACACCAGACAGTGTTGGCGCTGTTGTTGGGGCATCTTCCACAGTTTTAGTGGGAGTTAAATCTCTCTCAATAACGATCGTATCATATTTATTATGATTATAAATATAATAAAAATTTTATGGTTATTATGATTATTATGATCATAAATTTTTTAAAATTTTATTCAATTTATTATTAAATATAATATTTTTAATTATTAATGATAAAATTTTATTTTATAATTTTTAAAGTAATTTATATTATATCATATATTTTATTTATTTTAAAAAATATTTATAAAAAATATTTATATTTAAAAAAATTATTTATATGACAATTAAAAAATAATAAAAGATAAATAAACATATAAAAAAATAAATAATCATAAAAAATAATATATTTAATTATTTAATTACCGTACTTATTAAATTATTATCGAATTATATTATACATAAATCAAATAATAAGTTATTAGATATTTATAAATTAAGTAAAAGTATTATTATTTATGAGTCAAGAGAATTGTTTTTTATGAGCTTATAGTAAATCAAACTTGATAACTTTCACGTCGTGAGTGATTTTTAACAAGAATTACCTTAAGTTTACTTCCTCAACTTTTTGATTAAATTGCACAAATTCACACTACTTCTCATCTTCTTACTTTGCATTCAATAATTTTTTTCTTCAAACCTTCATTATCATCCCTATCTCTCAGTGCTCTTTTTTTTTTTTTTATGTGCTATCTATTCGTTTTCGTTAACTTTAAGTCTCACTCTCATCTTTTATCTCTCATTTTAAGTCTCAACAACTCCTGACTCCTTCTACCAATGCACCATAGCTTAATCTAATCTCAAATGCATAAAATCACGATAAATTTAAAAATTAAAAAAAAAATTTGAGTATTGAATTAATTACTTATCTTAAATTGCATATATTTGATTTTGATTAAAGTTGAATTTAAAAGAATTGATATTTTTAAAAGTTTAAGTTTTGTGAATTTTTTTTTTGAATTTATAAATTGATGTTTATTTTTTTCTTACTATTTTTATTTTAAATTTTTAAATAGAATCAAATGAAAAATTTTTTTTGAATTTTTGAATAAATAATGAAATAACGAATAATAACGAACCGTTATTATCGCTATTCAATATTACACTATAGTTTGTGACTGTGATGCGTTTATTATAAATGAAATTCAAATAGCGAAATAACAAGTAATAGCATTCAAATTTTCTCTCATTTTATCTATAACGTTGGTGGATAGTGATACAATCGCGAAATAACGACATCCAACCGCTATTTAAATTTTTGGTCCCTCTTGTAACAGAAGCGTTTGCAGCAGTAAGGGCTCTAGAGCTGTCCAAAGACCCGGGAATTCAAACTGTTATTTAAGAGGATGACACATTACGAATAACAGATGCACGAATTGAGCAGGGGAAAGATTTGTTTTATGTTGGCCATCATATCCTGGATGAAGCTCGCAAACTCCAACAGAGTTTTCGTTCTATCAAGGTTAAACATGCGAAACGCAAGACCAATGAAACAGCACATAAGCTAGCCAAACATGCTCTTACATATAGACTGGACTTATTTCTGGGAATGCGGCCCATTATTCAATCCATTATTATATCTGAATGTAATAACAGTTAAGTAATGAAATCCATGTTTCTTTAAAAAAAGCAAAAAGAAACAGAAGATTTATCCCATCATATTTCTTGAGACGATGAATATTTTCTGGATTACTAATCCATTTTCGTGTGCTTCATGCCACACCCAAATCACCCTTTTTTTATTCATCTTTTATTGAGATCTGTAGAGATTAAATCAAAATACGATAATTTACACACAAAATTACTTATTATTACAAGTTAAAAGATTAGTTACACTACGTACACATGAGAGTTATTTCACAAACACATGGGAGTTATTCCATAACAAATTGAACTCTTATAGCAAGTTATATTAAGTGACCAATTTTAAGCTTGGGTGATCAATTGCTTTTTGGAACCAATTTTTACCATGTTATAGATAATTTTCAAGTCCAAGAATAATTATATTTGTTTTTTAGGAGTAAATATATTGAATATAATTAGCATTTTTAGAAGTTAAAATAATATTAATATAAACTGTTTTTTTTTTTAATTAGCATTTTCATTATAAAGGGGATTTATATTATCACTGTATATTTAATATAATTTAAAGTGACAAATTTGTTTTGATAAAGAACAATTTTGAAAATTATCATTACATTTTAATAGTGTTTAATTTAGCAAATGCTATAACGTTATTTTCTTGTATTTAAATACGATAATTGGTATATTTAAATAGTTTAAAATATTAATAATTTAGTATTAATATTATGTTTTATAAAAAAATTATGTCGATTTATAACTACATAAAAACACAAAATATATATATTTTTTTGTTTTATCAAATTTATTTATAATTTTACTAAAAATTCTAAACCATTTCACCTACCTATCTTATTTCATAATATGATGTTATGTTTTACTTATATTTGAAACGGCGCTCTCATACATTTCCTAACACTACAATATTCTCTTTTCAAACATTTTTATTACCCAGCAATCACAGCCCATTGCAATGAAAAGATGGTCTGCACCAATTAATGCTCTTTAAGGTGGAATAAGGAGTGTTGGAAGACTTGATTTCACTTGCAAATTAATGCTACGCACCAAGTAACAGTAGGGTGTCTGTCCATTCAAATTGACATTAGCACAAAGTGATTGGCACGATCACACAAGGAAGAACAGCCACTCGAATATCATGAGGCAGGGCATTGATAGAGAATTCCAAAGCACTTTCTCAGAGAAACAAGCAATCAACTAAAACAAATTCCTTGATATAAAATATTACGATTATTAACCTCTATTCAAAATCCCATAGTACTAGTAGATACTATTACTTAAAATGATGTTCATAAATTTCTCAACTTGGGACATCATTTTGATCAAATCAAAAAGCCTATGTGCCAGCATTTCTGCGGCCAACACGAGCAACAAAGCCAGCTTTAATTGGAGCAACTGATCGTCCAGACCCACACTGCAAGAATGAGATCAGAAGTTTTTAGGGCAACACAGGCCAAGGACAAGTAAAAATAATCAATAACATCTAGTTAGAATAAACGCAGAAACCCATTATCTGACCACCCCTCCCCTCTTTTCCCTTTTTTCTTACTCTTTTCACAATGAACTCCCAACAATTGCAATTCTAACCAACATTAGTAAGTCTAAAAGGAGGCTTCAGAACTATCATTTTCTCATTCACAAAAAAACATGGCAATGTAGGCAGTTGTAAGAACATCATAAGCCTCATTTGGAGAATGAGGTGGCAGAAAAATATTAGAAAACCCATTAAACTTTCTTGAAAAACAAATTAATTGGATGTCAATAAGCACACCAGAAAACTCTATTCTGATTTTTATGTGATGACCAGCAACTCTAGGCCTCAGATTTGTTACTTTATTGTCATCAGAGTGAAGATCTGACAATGTAGGCAATTCTTCATCATAGGCCTTCTAAAAAGCACAGATTCTTTACTAACTACATCATTCAAACCAAAGCTATATACAGACTATCATGCATGTTTAACACGGTGAGAAGATGAAGTTTGGTCGGTCCAACCTACCAAATAAGCATGACCATCCAATCAATGACAAGTTATTAAGAACTAGAGGTAATAGTATAATGAGAAGAAAAGAGTTCTACGCACACATAAGCACCCAAGGCAAATAATAGGATACACATTTGAGAAGAAGGAAGAATGATTAGAGAAGAATGTGAACTTGTTACCTTCTCACATCTTAGAAAGAAAAGGCGATTCTCCTTCGAGAGAATTGTATCTGGACTTTTGCATCCAAGGCAAATAACATACTCATCTGATAAGAGGAAACCAAATTTTATGAAGTCAATCAAAATATTCCGAGCTTCAAGTTTACATTGCCATCATCTCAATGTCAGTTAGCATAACAGAAAAAAGGTACTTACTGATGTAACGCCTAAGGATCCCTTCAAAATTTTTCGGTGCAAACCTGCCCTTAACAACCAACCTTTGCTGCCCATCAAGAGATCCACTTGTCCCCAACTCAGCAAGCAAGAAGGCCATGACATGGTCTGGTTGCCGATGCATCCTAAAAGATTTCCCCAGCCAAGAATTTGTTAGAAAGGATGTGGTGTTTATTATGAAACTTGCAAATAGAACACCATTAAATGGTAAACTCAAGTACAAAAAAGAGAGCTGAATATTGTCTTGGTACAACCAAGAGAAGAAATATTTCTAGTCTTCTCCAAATATGATTAACTCCTAAGTGAAAGACTGTTGGAAAGAGGACATCATGAAGCAATACACTAAGTTAAGAATATGCAGAATTAAACACATGCAAGCAATATATTTTTATGGAATAAATAACAAAATATCCAGAATCTAAAGTTGCCCTTAAAAGAGATCTCAGATCCTCCGCCATCCCAACCAGCAAAAATACTGTATTTGTAGCTGAATAGAACACAGAATACAAGAAAAACAACAATAACATACGTCTTGCATAGATCCATGAAATTCACAAATACAGTTTTCTTGGTGCCTTCACGAAGAACTTGTGGAGGCCTCATAACAGTTCTACGCCTGTCTCCAGCAAGCTCAGGGTTGTTCTCCCGCAGAATGTTAAACACGCGACCAAGAAGCTACATGCATCACATTGAGCGAAGGTTAGACAATTTATCAGTGCTACAACAGAAAATTAGTATATAAACTCAATAATTTTCAAGTACGTGGTGAAAAGTGAAAAGACAATCCCCTTAGAGCTTTGGTAGCCACCAATGACCCCTTCAAAGCCAAATAAGATCAAATTCTCCAGAATTATAAAGAGACACAAAGACAGCTATTTAATCAGTAGACTTAGAGATACATAAAAACATCCTCCAAAATGGATTTCCATGAATGGTGAAATTCTTAAAACATTGTATGAAACTTAAGATTCCATCAACTATCATAGGTACATTACAAGTTTATGAATATCCAATCAATCATATTAACAAGATCAAGCATGCAATATCAATAACACACTGAGAGACACACTATACCTCTTCGTATTCGTAATCACGGTCACTTCCTTCCCAAGGATAACGCTGTTGCAAGACAACACTGTCACCTTCTTCATCCCCATCAATATGATCTAGATAAGTGGTAAAAAAACATATAAAAAATATTAATAACAGATTTCAAGTAAAACCTGTGTTCCAGTTCACAATATTACCGATCACTAATTAATGAAAGAAAATTCTAACCATCAAAATCTTCTCCTGCATCCACAGATTCCTCATTGAATGTACTGGTCTCTACCTACAACATCATAGTAAGAACGATTAGCTGATAGAGAAGAAACCGTACATATCTATTAATTTAAAGTATGTAGACTTACTTGTTTCTTCTTCTTCTTTTTCAGATTGCTAAAGTCAAGCCCATCAGAAACTGTAAGTAAAGAGAAAACAAATGAGTCTCCTAGCAAAACATATATTTTTTAGGATTCCATTTGGTTGATGCTTTTTGTCTTTTGTTTTCTATTATTTTTTCTTTTTTACTTTATCATTTTACTCATTTTTTCCATGAAAGTAAAAAGCAAATAGCAAAAAAATCAAGAAAATTGTAGAATAATTGGCAAAAGTACCAGATAATGCTTCAGTTTTCTCGGCTAACTTATCAACAGAATCATCTGCAGGGTCCTGCATCACAACCTTCTTCTTTTTCTTCTTTTTAGTAGGATCAAATGGCGCAAGCTGAACCAAAGAATCCATTAATTAGAAAAAAAAAAAAAAGAATTTAAAACGGGACATTCCATAAAACTTTAAATCGAATTGAGTAATATAGATCATGACTTCGTGTGAAGAAAGCATAATTTTCTCATTATTCCATAATGAGTTTAATTACCATAAAATCATAAAATTAACAAAAATATAAATGATTTTATGTCATTCAGTGGATTAAAGTAAAAAAAGAAATTCCATATCAAGTTAACATATCTGAATACACAATCTTACACAAATATTATAAATGAACCAATTTAATCTTCTTATCCAATTAATTACAGAAGAACGACATTCGAACAAAGAATTAGTTTTAAAAAAGAAGAAAGACTTACTTCCGACACCTCATCCTTCACTTCATCGTCTGCCATGATTGCTGCAAAGCCAAATAGAATTAAAAGAAAAAAAAATCAGAACAAAGGGATATAAAGTAGATTAAAAAAAAAAAAAAACCCTAGAAGCCTCTGAAGCGGGGACAGTGGCGGCATCGCCGCGTAATGGAGAAAAATGGAAAGAGCATAGAAGTGAAAACACTTACCCTGGTGTTTTGATTTTTTTTTTCTTATGCGAAAACGAGCCTCAAATCAGAGAACAGAAGAATATAGCAAAGTGAAACAAATGGGTAAGACGGCTTCTTTTGGTACAAGAGAGGCTAGGTTGCTTGATTTTTCTTGTGTTACACCTTAAAAAAGGGAAAAAAGATTAAATGGCTTTATTATTTTATATTATTTTTTATAAGAATAAATAATACTTGGGCTTCGTCTAATGCATGCTTAAGCTTAGTGCCCATTCATTAAGCCCATATTTCCAGGCAATGCTCCTTTTTTCAAGTCTCGTTCAGTTCGAGCCGAGTCGAGCTTAAGTTTATTTGTCTACTTTTAAGCTTGTTTAAGATGAGTCGCATTTATTAAGAATTTTGACAAGTTGGGCTCATTAAAATTTTAAAACTTTCAAACATGTTCAATTTATTTAAAAATTTATTACATAAATCATAGTAATTGTTAAAAATATTTTTAGGTCCAAAAGGTAAATTGGTGTTTTCTCTTATTAGAGACAATCAATAGATAACTAAATATATTTTTTATTTTTGAGTCAATCTGATATGTTAGGTTGACCTAACATGTATAATGCTACGTTAGCTCAGCTACGGCACAATTTTACCTTATAGACCATTCACCTTTCTCTTAGAAATAGAATCATTTAAGTATTATTTATCCATTTGACTATTTTTCGTTACATTTATTTTTTTTTCTTCTTTCGACCTCCCATAACTTGACCTATGACTTGAGTATCGGAGTGTAAAAACAATGAACATTCTCTACCTTTGCAAGAATCTCTCTATTTCTTTTGTGATTTCAAGGTCCTGACTCTCAACTTGAAGTGTGGTACAAATATTTGGCACACCAGATAGGGATGGCAACAGGTCGAGTCGAGACGAGTTTTTACTCGCTCTAAACCTGATCGGACTTTATACCAATAATACTCGAAATTGACCCAACTTGACTTGAAATTAATAAAATATTATTTTTTAATATAAATATAAAATTATATAATATATAAATATAAAATTAAATAATTAATTAAAAAATAATTTTTTTATATATATCGAGTTAGGTCAAGTTGAGTTGCCTAAAACCCGACCTCAATTTTTTTTATTATTATCGACCTGACCCGACTCAAAACTCGATTAGAAAAAAAAAACCCTAAAAGGTTAGGTCGGAACCATCGGGAATGCATTGGGCTGCCATCTCTAACACCAGGTAAAGATTATATCTTTTGGCCAAGCTAAACATTATGCCACTCAGAAGAAAAGCCAACAAGGAAGGAGAACCAATTGTCCTAGTTGGGACTAAAACCTAAAATAGCCAACCTACAGATCAACCTATGCAAATACAAGTAAGGCCAACCATGGAATAATTCCAAGCCTTAACTAAACAAATCCAAGCCCTAAAACAAATGGTCTAAAGTATAACACCACCTTAAGCCTTAAAAGTAACCAACCTGGTCACCCTTGGTAGATAACCAATAGAAATACAATCAAGTTATGAGAAAGCTGAAGCCTTTTCAACCTGTAGGGAGGAGGAACATGCTGTTTCAACCATTCATCATCATTATCTTAACCATAACTCTACCCATGCAACCACATAAAATTTAAACAGACTAACATAAAACACTAACTGAGTAGAAATCTAGAGGCTAAAATGCATGGCATAGAGAAAGAGTTAAAAGAAAAAGCTGTCGCTTTTAAGGATGAGCTAAAATTCCTAGAGACCACATCCTTTATTGAAGATATTAACAGGATATGCCCCTAAAAAGATTCAAAATGTCGACCTTAGGAGCAACGATAGTACCTCTAATCATTTTGACCATTTGAAACTTTATAAAACTAACATGATGATGCAGTGTGCAGATGAGGCCTTGATGTGTAAAAAATTGGCTATAACCCTCAAAGGGGCAGCTCGATCTTAATTTGCAGCCTTAAACTGGGTCGATCATGATATTAAAAAAACTCAAGCACTTATTTTTGTTAAGATTTGTCAATAGTAGAAGAACTAATAAAATTACCTTAACTTTTATGTTAATCCATTAAGGTAGAAATAAGTCTTTAAAAGACTACGTTATGTGTTTTAACGCGAAAGCCCTACAAGTGAAAAATCTCGAGCAAATGACTGCAGTAACCATCATCACCAATTGACTTAACGATAGAGAGTACCACTTGAAACTCACACTTTCTCTTGAACCGCCAAAAGCATTGGTTGAAGTGCTATTTGTCATGGGGAAATACATCAATGCTAAAAGTATAATGAAAAATCAAGGCGATAGAGCTCATCCCCCTTCCTTGGCTAGAAAAAAAAGTAAAGAGATATATGATTTTCCTCTAAGAGAGAGACAATAAGGGTATCTAAGGGCTAAAAGCCCAAGTCGACAATGAAGTTACATTGCACTGAATACCTCTAAAGAGAGGATTTTGATGCAAATCGAAAGGGACTCCGAGCTTAGATGGCCAAAGCCACTAAAGCAAAATACTCGTTTAAACTATAAAAAAAAATGTGAGTTCCATAAAGACTTCAACCATAACACAGAAGATTGTGTCAAGCTAAAAAATAAAATAGAAAGTTTGATTAGAAGAGGTCAACTAAAAAGGTTTATGGATCGATAAAGATAGGATCAAGGTAAATTAGATTACAGAAGAGGGGATTATAGAGAAAAGCCACTAAAAAACTAAATGGACAGACCAAATGAAAATTACAGTGATAGAAAGAAAAGAAACAAGCAAGAAAATGAAGGCTAAGTAGTAAATAACAAGCCCATCATGGACTTAATTAATGTGATTACTGGAAAAAGTTCTATGTTGGCCAAAAAAAATTTTGACCAAAGAATGATCATGGCCATAGGGTTCTCGACCAAGAAAGAAAAAGAGTTGGAAAGATAAACCAATCTTTTTCATGTCGAAAGATATAGAAGGTATCCAATTTTCACATGATGATGCTATTGTAGTCATTGCTTTTGTATATAATTATGCTATAAAAATGATTCTATTTGATAATAGTGCTCGATTGATGTTTTATACTATGCTATAATGCTGAAAATGGGAATCAAATAAGAGATGTTGAAGCCATTTACTAAGCTAATCCAAAAGACAACTTTCCTTTCCCTAACATAGATAGGCTAGTTGATGATAACGTCGAGCATGACCTGCTTAGCTTTGTCATAACATATAGATCTATGGATCTACCACTAGACATGAATTGAAAGAGTTGCCACCAATCTTTTTTGTTTAAGAGTGATTGGCCATCTGACAGAATTTGTCATTTTTAAAGAGAAGTCCCAAAATTGACTTAGGTATCTTTAAATAGTAAATTTTAGTCCACGAAACCAAATTTCATATTTGAGAGTGTGATTACACGTGAAAAAGGTTATAGCACCCTCATAGGGACCATCCAAAGATGGTACCGGTTTGATTTCAAATTATCCAAGCCTTAATCATATTTATAATTTACCAAAATATTTAATATTAAAAATTAATTTTAAAATTACTCCAATAGTTTAGTAGCAATTTAAGATAATTATCTCACCTCAAGAGTATTCATGGAGGTTAGTGTCCCACCTTGAAGAGGCTCCGTTGTCGGATTCATTAATATATTTTTATTCAAGAAAATAATTAGTAAAATCTTTCAATAGTTTGGTAATATTTACTTTGATACAGATCTCCCAATTGTTTAGTAAGATTTTCTTGTAAATTTATTTTTAGAAAATGTATTAAATCTTTTGATAGTGTGGTAAGACTTAATTTAAGATACAAATCCTCTAATAATTTAGTAAGTTCAAAATAAAATATTTTATTGGTAACATTTTTTTATAAATTGATTTATGAGATTTTCAATAGTGTGGTAAAATTCATAAAAAAATTAAATTCATGAAAAATTATCTAATAGTTTAGTAGGATTCATGAATTTATTTTAAAAATATTTTTTGTTATTATTTTTAAATAAATAAAAAAAATAAAATTCATAAAGGTATTTTAAAAAATAAATAATAAAATTTGCAATTTAAGGTAATGAGTAAAATAATAATTAAAGATGAAAATAATAATAATAAGTAAAAATATAAAATCTAAATATAAAATGAAAATCAAATCAAATCAAAACAAAAAAAAGGATGGAAAAAAAAAAAAAAAACCTACAATCGAGTCAGGCTTGAAGCACAGATTTTCACGCAGGTTATCGGGTTCAAGTAAAAACTTCAAACTTCAATCGAAAAGTTCATCCTAAACCCAGAAAAGTCTTCAAATTCTTGAAAACCCAATAGAAATCCCAGAATCAAAAGCCAATAAAAAAACCCCTACAAAAATCTCAAAAGCTCAATAAAATATGGAATCAAACTCAGAAATTAAAACCTAAATTTAGGAAACCCAAAAATGAAATCAAATTCAGAATGAAATAAAATCATAGAACCTAAAAAAAAAAATCAGAATTTGCTTGAATGATTCCTCCCAAAAACAAAAAACTAAGATCTCTAGAATTTTTGTTTTTTTCCCCTCCTCATTTTGTGTGTGATTGATTGGCGATTATATAGGGCCTTCTACTAGGAAATTTAAGGATTCACATTAAATGGAAAAGATTGCAGATCTAATTATGCTCTAAATTGATTTTTTTTCTTGATTCTATTTAAAATCGATTTAATTAATTTTTGGAATTGTCTGAATTTTCTTTGATTTTTAGAATCCCTTAAAATTTTTCCAAGTTAAATCTGACTTTGATTTCTTGATTTTGTTTCTTTTCAATATTCCTTTAATATCTAAAGATATCATGTTTAAGTCTTAATTGTTGAGATCATCCTTGATTAGTGCTCAAATTACTCCACATGATTTATGATTTATGATAAAAATTTAGAACCAGATAAATAAAAGACTAAAATATAAAAAAAAAGATAAATAAATAAGACAAACAAGATATAAAAAAGAAATGTAGGAAATTGGACAATTGGGCTTGGATCGAATCTAGGCCTAATTAGTTTGAGCCTCGGACTAAATAGAGTGTCAACAAGTGCCCATCTTTGCACAGTTTCTATAAAATAGGAATTGCACAAAGACAAATGACATCTATTTTGTTTGGGTCTAGAAAAACTAAAAACATTTAACTTGAAATACAAAGGTTCATAATTTGAAAATTCAAGGGTGTGTCACAAAATTGCAAA